GGGGGGGGGAACCCCAACACCGTTTGCTTCTTGCTGTTGAAGGCGGGCAATGAGGTCGCAGGAGAAAATAACGTTTGTGACTTCCGAGCCTACTGCCTATGGACAGAAATACCAGCGGTAAAGAAGCCACGGAACACTTTAAGCAATTTATTAAAGGATTGGGCTCAAAAGACTGAGCGCCGCCCCCAAACATTAAAAAAGAAAAAAATTATGCGTTCACTGCTGTTTCAAAGTCAGGGACGCGGAGGAGGAGGGGAGGGGAGGTGCACACCCCGGGGGAGAGAGAAGCCATCACGGGTAGGTCTCTACCTTGTCCCTGAGCAGAGCCCGGCTGCCTGATGACGAACCTCCCCCTCCCCGCCCGCCCTAATATCTTCCCTCTTCCAGACGGAGACTCAACCTCCCCCTCCCCGCTCGCCCTAATATCTTCCCTCTTCCAGACGGAGACTCCAAAGCCCCTTACCCCTCTGAGTGTACAAAGAAGACGGTCAGAATACAATAAAACACATAAATTCGCGTCTTTTCTCGCACCTCCCCCACCCGGGCCTGTGGGAAGAGGAGGAAGATGAAGCAACCTTCCACCATCATCCAGTTTAAAATGCGAGTGAACTCCCCTGCATGCTTCCCTCGGGATACGGCCGGGCTATAACTCTTCACAGGTCCCGCTACAAATGCCTCTGTGAGGTGCCTTTCCCTCTTTCCCGGCTGAGCATCTCCGGTGCTGCGCCCCAGCGCTCCTTGTTTTCAGGTTGGGAGAGGTTCCAGACGCCTTCAACGAGGGAGAAGAGAGAGAGACCGAAGGGGGGTCCTGAAAGTCACCGGGCACCCTCCTCCGGATTGGCAGCCCGGTGGCATCTCCGAGCCCGGCTCCTCTCCTCTTGGCGAGCATCGCGCTTTTCATCTGCCTCCAGCCCGCTCCAATCTTTATGGCTAAACAAGTTCACAGTCTACACTCAGTAAAACGTCGATATTGCGCTTAATGGTTGCGGGAAACAGAGTCTTCGCAGGGATCCTCATAAAAACCTTTTATTTAGTTTCGAGCATTTTCTTGTAATCAATAAAAGTTATCTGTTATCTCCCAGCGCATTTAGCGGGGAAGTTTATTGCCTGCCGGGCGGATTAAGGGTGAGACAGGAGTGCACCATACATGGAAGGGACTCCCGAGTCCCTAGATCCGAGCCTCGGATTCATAAAATATAACCATCCATTAAGTTGCCGATATCTGGAGCCAGCAAATATACACAGACCATAAATTGTCGCCGGCGGGGTGCGGGCCGGCCGCGGGCGCGGGGCCTCCGCCCGCCCGCATTCCTGCCCTCGCCGGGGGGGCGCCGGGGGGGTCCCCGGCCCATCCATCACCGCCGTTATGACTCTGCGATGCAGCAAATGGGTTGTGTAAAGAGGCCGCGTTTGACAAGGTGGCATGGTTATCCTGTCCAAATGATGCATAATATTAGTATTAGGGCTTAGATCATCGCATGCTTTTAAAATCATCACCGCTAACTAGGGCTGGTGGGGGGGGGG